GAGTACAAAATGATCTGCACCAAATTAAAGAATAAGAAGAAGAAAAATGGTCAGCTAACTTACGCATAATAAGTTTTACATAATTACATATTTATGAACTTTTATATATATCCCATATCGATAAATGATGTTGACACAGACCAATTAATAAAAGATCTTGGGCTACTCCTCTTAACAAGGTTGACCTTTTAAAATAGACCCCCAAATCTTAATAGGGATGAATAGTATTTTTCTTTTTATTTTGCACTTTGTATAGCTTCACTTCTTCGTTCTTTTTATGGGAAGCTTAGCCTTAGACAAGATTTGTGTGTTCAACGTACATGATACTAACAATTAAAATTTGTTTCAGGCTAAAATTGATTATATATTAGGATTAACCTGCTCCTTATTGCTAATTTGCATGAAATTGTGAACTACTAGTCTCTCGACGTATACTAAGTTGGATATATGTTTGCATCAATCCATAAACATCTTGTACGTAATTTCTCTTTTGTGATTAAATAAAATATAATTATTTTACCTAAGCACTTAGAGTTCGTTTGATTGCAAATGTGGAATTTGGGTGGAAAAAAATGAATTACATGAAATCGAATTGTCTAGAATTTGTTTGACTGAAAATTGTAATTAATTGTGTTTTATTGGTATAATTTTCCACATAAAAAATTGTTGAAAGTTTGGTGCCCGTTTGGTTTCTTTTTTCATAAAAATTGTCCATTAAATTGATAACTTTTTTTATCATTGGGTTTAGAATTTGTTCCAATTGTCCGAAAAAAAGAAAAATTACCATATCGAATACCATTCGTTTGACTTTATTTTGCATGAAAATTGCCAATAAATGTGATAATTTTTTTTACCATTGTATTTATAATTTTTTCCAATTGCTAAAGAAAAAAAGAGTTAGAAAATCAATTACCATTGGGTTTAGAATTTGTTCCAATTGTAAAAAAAAAAAAATTACCATACCGAATACCATTCGTTTGACTTTGTTTTGCATGAAAATTGTCAATAAATGTGATAATATTTTTACCATTGTGTCTAGAATTTTTTTCAATTGCCTAAAAAAAAAAAAGAGTTGGAAAATCAATTACCACAAAAATCAAAAGAAAATGAATTCCTTGAAAATCAAGAAAACAGGCGTGTGAGAGTAGGAGGTGGAAAACGAATTCCGGGGAAAATTTTTGCTATCAAACACTACAAAATTTGAAAAATGGAAAAAAATTTCCATTTTCCATGGAAAATCTTGTGTATCAAATGGAGACTTACTATATTATGCACTCTCATCTCTGTGAATATTCCAACGTTTTTCATTTCCTGCAATAGATACCACAAATTTCTCAACCTTTCTTAGTTTGTTAAGATGGTTCGAGAAAAAGACGAAAAGAGAAAAAAAAGTTTCAATATATACTATACTTACAAATTTATGTCTGTCTAGGGGCATGTCTCGTTAAAATTCAACAAAAAGTAACACTGCTAAATCCAATTCGTATTATTCGTCATGCTCAATGCATCAATTAATAAAACTCACGAGATAGATAGATACTACAAACGTCAAAATAATAGACGAAAACAGTCACTAGCATTGATTATCATATTTATTTTTGTTTGATAAATCTTAACTCTACTACAAACCTTCAAAGATATATACTACAAAATAATAAGCAGCTATGACGTATGAAATTCCGCTCTTGAATCGCAATACAAGATTCTCGTTATGGCAAATGAAGATGCAATATGTACTCGCGCAGATGAATTTAGATGATGCGTTGTTGGGATTTGACAAAGTTTTGGTGTAGGCAAAACATAGTTTGTTCAAATTATAGAAGGCGGAATTTTAAATTTATGACCGTCAAAAAAAGACACGGTGATCTAGTGTGCTATTGATTAAATGATTAATGCATGCTACCTCGTGCATTTAGTAACACGAAACGTAAATGGAAACGAAAGCAAGAAAAACACATGATTTAAGTTGTTCACTCTTGATGCAATAGCTACATCACTGAATGTCTCTATAGAATTGCACCAACTTCGAATAAGAAAAGGACCATAATGCTTTTCTGGACTTACTAACTCTGTCTACTTCCTCTCTACCATGCGGAAGGAGGCTCGTCCAAATACCTTTTATGCAGGAGACTAGGAAGAAATATTAGGGTGACTTAATACATATGCAAATTTCTCAAAGTGCCCCTATAACACCTAAGAAATTTCTAAGGAAGAAGAGCGGTCGAGGAGAAAAGTGTTACAGGATATTAGGCCCCACAAATCCAACATAATGTACTATATTTGTTGGGTGATTTACGAGCAATCGTGTGAGGGTAATTACTGATCATATGCTGCTATATAGTGATGCTGTTACAGGATATGCTTTCTCCCAAGGTGTGGTATTCAGTGGAAAATTACTTGTTTCATCAAGGACCTTTGGCCAAGCTGCTTCCCATACAAAGACTAAAAAGAGGAATACTAGCACTTGGAAGCTGGCTCTTGACAGTATATGGTGATGCAGTTTGATGAGAGGGAAGGAAGGCACCGATGATACAAGTTTCGATTCTCCAGGCTGAAGAACATACTTCTACACAAACTATTCGTTTGGAGCCAATAAACACTGTTCATATCCTCAACATTTCTGAATTTTATATTAATGAACAACCTGTTAAGTCTTATTGTAATTTTTATTCATGGGTGCTTTGTGCTACAGCAATACAAGCCTCATTTATTATTAAAAATAAAAGTTAAAAAACAAGAGAGGCATTAAAAAGCATGAAACAGTGGTGTTTAAAATATTAAGAAACTACCGTTACTGAGAGTATTTATGGCCCAATTGACAGGAGCCATTGTCTGGTTAAGTATTGGAGGGTAGAATAACGTTTAACTTGAGCCAAGTGAGAGAAAGAGCTGATGAAGTACATATAGAAGTCAGTAAATACATAGAGTAATTACAAAGCTATTAAAAACAAGAGAATTTTTGCCACTCTGAGCTCCTACCTACATTATAAAAAGACTTTTTTGACATGAACTATTGACTGGCCTGCCCCAATTTTTTGCTTCCCAAAACCTCAGAACACCAAGTGGTGTGAGCAGTTAGCTTTCGTAATGAAGGAGAAAGAGTTGAGACGCTTGAATCAATTCTCTAATAAGTCCTTTACATGGAATAGGTCTTAAATTATCGTCTAGTTACATGAAATATGTAACGTCCTATCAATTTAACCGTATTTTGAATAGTTTAAGAAGTAGAGTATTGAAATATGTAATTTATTAAATGCAATCATTGTACATTAAAAACAGAGAGTTTGACTAATGGTCATTTCATCTTTGTTTCACAAACCTTTCCCCTCTGGTAACAAAACTCGATGGCTAACTTATTCTCAGTCCATAATCCTTTTGTGTACTTAACGCTGCTAAAAAACTCGTATTCTAGTCCCACGAGTGATGGAAGTAAATACAGAGCCGAAAAGGTTAAGGTAGACTTCAGTACGGCGAACGGCGCCAAAGCATGTCTCCTACACATGCAATTTAAACACATTTAACTTCAGTATATAAGCAGACTTGAAAAAAAAATAATTTTGAATCATTATGAATAAGATGGAAGCTTCGTGGCGAATTTCAAAAAGAAACCAGGGTTTCAGAGGAAAGTAGGGTGGAATACTTACAATATGGTCTTCATTCCCGCCGTACTCGTGGCACTTCTCACCAATTCGGAGCACGACATTTCTTTAGCCGCTCATTTCAGCGGTGGAAAAAGATTTAACAAGGAATGTTAAATGGCACTCCAGTCCCGAACTGTTGAACCTTGTTACAATGAGGTCGTGAATCTTTGATTTCTAGCACCTGAAATCTCAAACCATTCAACGTCTACACTCGAGATCCTTTTGCAACGAAATTGTCAGTTCGACCACTAAAATGTCAAAATTTGAGTAAAAAGATTATTGTTCTCTTGGCCCTGTTTGAGCCACACTCCTTAAAATTCATTTTTTTTTCTCAAACTCATTTTCAATCGTACATTGTACGCGAAGGTAGTGGAGGGTGATATGATGGGCGGTGGCTATTGTGGCAGGCGACGGTGGTAATTGCTTTGGTTTGATTTAGTTGGGGGTAGGTTAAAATTGTAAAGTTATCATTTTGTCTTTTTTATATTTGATCAAGAGTCAATTTTTTTAGTCAATTAAATATCATATAGATGGAATCGATCTAAAAATGAAAAATTGAGATTGTGGGTGACACAAATAAAAAGTTTGGATAAAATCCGTGATAAAATGAAAGATTTGCAATTCTTCCTAAAATGAAAGGTTAAAATTAATTTTTTAACTTATTTTTTTATTAATTTTTTTAGCTAGGCGAAAGCATAAACAGTACAGCCCTGTTTGGAGGTCAGTTTTTTGGAACAATATTACTTTGGATATGAATTTTTTGGAGAATGCGTGATTAAAAAATATGGAAAAATTTTAAATTTATTTGTAGAATATTTTATTGAGGGATTAAAAATAAGTGGAAAAATAAGAGTTTGTTTGGTTGAGATTTTTGGTGGAAGAGTCGATTTTTGAATAGTGATATGATGAGAAATGTATAGTTGAAAAAGAAAAAAAAATTATTGATGTAATGGAAAATATTATTTTATTGAAAAATGTGTGGTTAAAAATGAGAATTGGTTTACCATAGAAAATCAAAATCTATACCGAACAGGTTCTAAGGGTTTTTGAAAGAGTGAAACACTAATAGAAAGCAGCCAAAAAACATCCAATCATCCATGATGTTTACATTGAGCTTCAAAATAATCGAAGATCTACAACCTCAGCTCAACGATAAGAGAAATCCAGTTTTACCCGATTCTCCACCTCATTCTCCACGTCCACGAATACTCGCCTAACCCCACCTCAATCTCCATATCACCCGCTCTTTCTCTCTCTACAACTCCACACAACAGAACAAAGAGATATAGAGAGAGACTCTGTGAGCAAAATGGCTTCAACAGCAGCATCACCAGCCTTCTGTGCCATCCCAAAGATCTCATCAACCGCCACTAGGACCGCCACCTCCACCACTCGATTCCTACTAAAGACCCCTCTTCGCGGCCTGGGTTTCGCTGGAGCCGCTGCTGACCCACTTCTCGCCCACCATGTCGCCACCAAGCTTCGATCTTTAAAGAGCTCTTCTGCCAAGCCCGTGAGGGGCGTAGCCTCCATGGCTAAGAAGAGTGTCGGAGACCTCACCGCTGCCGACCTCAAGGGTAAAAAGGTGTTTGTTAGAGCTGATTTGAATGTCCCACTTGATGATAATCAGAACATTACTGATGATACTAGGATTAGAGCTGCTGTTCCCACCATTAAGCACTTGATTAGCAATGGTGCTAAAGTTATTCTTTCAAGCCATTTGGTAAGTCAAAATTTCATAATTTGATTCAGATTATGACGTATAGTTGTTATTATTACTGTTTCTGATTGAATTTTTCCAAAGATTTCTGCATTTCGATGCATTCTCCTATCTGGGTCTTTACTATTTGACTAATGATTTGATAGAACTGAACTTGTTAACTTCGCTCTGATTCTGTTGCCTGTGATCAAGTTCGGTTTGGATTTCGATCTGGCATCAAATTGGTGAATTATGACTGGTTTTGTAAAATTTTATATATATTTATGCAAAGTTCCTAATTGGGACATTATTCTGGGAATAGTACACCATTAAATCTCCTAATAAGTAATATGTAATGTTTGTTATATATATTTATGCAAAGTTCCTAATTGGGACAATATTCTTGGAATAGTACAGCATTAAATCTCCTAATAAGTAATATGTAATGTTTGGTAATGTTTCCTGTGTATGATGGTGGTTAATTCTTTCAAATTCCATTTTCCAACATCGTTGATTTTCTAGTTACAGTCACGTATCACCGTTTTTGCTTGTCTTTTTAATATTTTTGCCAGCTTATTTTGGCTTGAGTACGATTTCACAGTCAACTCTTGTTCTTTTCTGGCTTTTCAGGGACGACCAAAAGGTGTCACTCCGAAATTCAGCCTTGCACCCCTTGTTCCCAGGCTATCTCAACTGCTTGGTGTCTCGGTATGTCTTTGTCAAAATTCGAGGTAGAAGTTGTTCTGTAAAATAAAAACAGTATGAAGGGTGTCAGAATATAATAAGAGTAATATATGATGCGTTACAAAGGCTACCAAAAGTGATGGATTATGTTTTAACTTTTACCCCTTGATGTATAATGAATAGGTTGTGAAGGCTGATGACTGCATTGGTCCAGAGGTCGAAAAGTTGGTCGCTTCACTTGCTGATGGTGGCGTTCTTCTCCTTGAGAATGTTAGGTTTTACAAAGAGGAAGAAAAGAATGACCCTGATTTTGCAAAGAATCTCGCGTCATTGGCTGATATATATGTGAACGATGCATTTGGTACTGCACACAGAGCACATGCCTCTACCGAGGGAGTTACAAAATTCTTGAAGCCCTCAGTTGCTGGTTTCCTTTTACAAAAGGTTAGATTTTCTTGATTATACTACTCCTGATTTATGCCAATGACTGAACAATAGTTTATTGGGTCTACCATAATACCATTTTACAAATTGAAGAAATTTTAATTTTGCTGTTTTAGGAGCTGGACTATCTTGTAGGAGCAATTTCTAATCCTAAAAGGCCCTTTGCAGCAATTGTTGGTGGTTCAAAGGTGTCCTCTAAGATCGGAGTGATTGAATCACTTTTGGAGAAGTGTGATATCTTGCTTTTGGGTGGAGGAATGATCTTCACATTTTACAAGGCACAAGGTCTGTCAGTTGGGTCATCCCTAGTGGAAGAAGACAAGCTGGATCTTGCAACTTCCCTTATTGCGAAGGCTAAGGCCAGAGGAGTTAGTCTCTTGTTACCTTCAGACGTGGTCGTGGCAGACAAGTTTGCTCCTGATGCAGATAGCAAGGTCTAGTGCTCAATCTTGCTGCCAAAGTTTTAAGTTGATTTTTTCCACCCCTTCGTTGGGAAGTTGAAATTTAATGGTCTCAAGCAATATTTTATCGAACTATTCTTTAATAGAATTCTAGGCCTCCTGATTTTCTAATGGAAAGCTAACACTTGAAGGCTAAAATGTTTGTTGGTTATTGCAGATTGTGCCAGCATCTGGTATCCCAGATGGCTGGATGGGATTGGATATTGGACCAGATTCTATCAAGACATTTAATGATGCCTTGGAAACAACAAAGACTGTTATTTGGAACGGACCAATGGGAGTGTTTGAATTTGATAAGTTTGCTGTTGGCACAGAGGTATGGAATAATACTATTTCATCTTTTCAAGATTCCCGTTCACTAAATATTATGTTCGGCAAATCTAGGTCAATTTCATTTTGTCATCCGTGTTGTCCCTGAAATGCTGATTTTTCTAAAAAACCTTCTTTGTAATTGCATTTTAGTAGTTAGAAGTATTAAGCTTTTATTTTTTGCCAATGAATCACAAATAGGCATTTTAAGCAACATAATCATTTACGTCCTACAAGTCAGCAATTCATTAGTTTTGGAAGACTCAGGTGTAGATGGAGCGTCCAAACTGTACCCAGTACAGTTCACGAATCTTGCCATATCATCCTTCTTTTCATTCCTAAATCTAGAAGCATAGGGCAACAAGTAGACAATAGTTGAGAATGCGATTTTGGTTGCAGGCTGTTGCAAAGAAGCTAGCCGAACTCAGTGGGAAGGGAGTGACAACTATTATTGGAGGTGGAGATTCCGTTGCAGCTGTAGAGAAAGTTGGCGTTGCCGATGTGATGAGCCACATATCGACTGGTGGCGGTGCCAGTTTGGAGCTCTTGGAAGGCAAAGAGCTCCCTGGTGTCCTTGCCCTTGATGAAGCTGTTCCAGTTGCTGTGTAAGGTTTATAGACAACGTTCTAATTCATTTTATTAACCTGAAATCTATTTTGATGTTCCACTTCTGGTGCGTAAACTAGAAAAGTTTAGTATATGAGAATGTTTCACTTCACTGTTGATTTAATGTCTCAATCAGCCTTTTCTTGTTGAAACGATGAGAACAAATAATGAAAATTGAGGAAGAGATTGTCTCTCGTAATCTTATTTTTTGTTTGTTGTTTTTCTGGAATTGTGTCTTCATTTATATAAATTTAATATCCAGACTTTTCTTAGGCGTTTTCTCTTCAGAGCAAATTGTTGCATTTTGGCGAATACTGAAACTGGTAAAGTTCTTTTTTGGAGATTGATAGGGTTACACCGTACATAATTCGACAGGTTAAAAAGTNGTTTTACCCGATTCTCCACCTCATTCTCCACGTCCACGAATACTCGCCTAACCCCACCTCAATCTCCATATCACCCGCTCTTTCTCTCTCTACAACTCCACACAACAGAACAAAGAGATATAGAGAGAGACTCTGTGAGCAAAATGGCTTCAACAGCAGCATCACCAGCCTTCTGTGCCATCCCAAAGATCTCATCAACCGCCACTAGGACCGCCACCTCCACCACTCGATTCCGACTAAAGACCCCTCTTCGCGGCCTGGGTTTCGCTGGAGCCGCTGCTGACCCACTTCTCGCCCACCATGTCGCCACCAAGCTTCGATCTTCAAAGAGCTCTTCTGCCAAGCCCGTGAGGGGCGTAGCCTCCATGGCTAAGAAGAGTGTCGGAGACCTCACCGCTGCCGACCTCAAGGGTAAAAAGGTGTTTGTTAGAGCTGATTTGAATGTCCCACTTGATGATAATCAGAACATTACTGATGATACTAGGATTAGAGCTGCTGTTCCCACCATTAAGCACTTGATTAGCAATGGTGCTAAAGTTATTCTTTCAAGCCATTTGGTAAGTCAAAATTTCATAATTTGATTCAGATTATGACGTATAGTTGTTATTATTACTGTTTCTGATTGAATTTTTCCAAAGATTTCTGCATTTCGATGCATTCTCCTATCTGGGTCTTTACTATTTGACTAATGATTTGATAGAACTGAACTTGTTAACTTCGCTCTGATTCTGTTGCCTGTGATCAAGTTCGGTTTGGATTTCGATCTGGCATCAAATTGGTGAATTATGACTGGTTTTGTAAAATTTTATATATATTTATGCAAAGTTCCTAATTGGGACATTATTCTGGGAATAGTACACCATTAAATCTCCTAATAAGTAATATGTAATGTTTGTTATATATATTTATGCAAAGTTCCTAATTGGGACAATATTCTTGGAATAGTACAGCATTAAATCTCCTAATAAGTAATATGTAATGTTTGGTAATGTTTCCTGTGTATGATGGTGGTTAATTCTTTCAAATTCCATTTTCCAACATCGTTGATTTTCTAGTTACAGTCACGTATCACCGTTTTTGCTTGTCTTTTTAATATTTTTGCCAGCTTATTTTGGCTTGAGTACGATTTCACAGTCAACTCTTGTTCTTTTCTGGCTTTTCAGGGACGACCAAAAGGTGTCACTCCGAAATTCAGCCTTGCACCCCTTGTTCCCAGGCTATCTCAACTGCTTGGTGTCTCGGTATGTCTTTGTCAAAATTTGAGGTAGAAGTTGTTCTGTAAAATAAAAACAGTATGAAGGGTGTCAGAATATAATAAGAGTAATATATGATGCGTTACAAAGGCTACCAAAAGTGATGGATTATGTTTTAACTTTTACCCCTTGATGTATAATGAATAGGTTGTGAAGGCTGATGACTGCATTGGTCCAGAGGTCGAAAAGTTGGTCGCTTCACTTGCTGATGGTGGCGTTCTTCTCCTTGAGAATGTTAGGTTTTACAAAGAGGAAGAAAAGAATGACCCTGATTTTGCAAAGAATCTCGCGTCATTGGCTGATATATATGTGAACGATGCATTTGGTACTGCACACAGAGCACATGCCTCTACCGAGGGAGTTACAAAATTCTTGAAGCCCTCAGTTGCTGGTTTCCTTTTACAAAAGGTTAGATTTTCTTGATTATACTACTCCTGATTTATGCCAATGACTGAACAATAGTTTATTGGGTCTACCATAATTCCATTTTACAAATTGAAGAAATTTTAATTTTGCTGTTTTAGGAGCTGGACTATCTTGTAGGAGCAATTTCTAATCCTAAAAGGCCATTTGCAGCAATTGTTGGTGGTTCAAAGGTGTCCTCTAAGATCGGAGTGATTGAATCACTTTTGGAGAAGTGTGATATCTTGCTTTTGGGTGGAGGAATGATCTTCACATTTTACAAGGCACAAGGTCTGTCAGTTGGGTCATCCCTAGTGGAAGAAGACAAGCTGGATCTTGCAACTTCCCTTATTGCGAAGGCTAAGGCCAGAGGAGTTAGTCTCTTGTTACCTTCAGACGTGGTCGTGGCAGACAAGTTTGCTCCTGATGCAGATAGCAAGGTCTAGTGCTCAATCTTGCTGCCAAAGTTTTAAGTTGATTTTTTCCACCCCTTCGTTGGGAAGTTGAAATTTAATGGTCTCAAGCAATATTTTATCGAACTATTCTTTAATAGAATTCTAGGCCTCCTGATTTTCTAATGGAAAGCTAACACTTGAAGGCTAAAATGTTTGTTGGTTATTGCAGATTGTGCCAGCATCTGGTATCCCAGATGGCTGGATGGGATTGGATATTGGACCAGATTCTATCAAGACATTTAATGATGCCTTGGAAACAACAAAGACTGTTATTTGGAACGGACCAATGGGAGTGTTTGAATTTGATAAGTTTGCTGTTGGCACAGAGGTATGGAATAATACTATTTCATCTTTTCAAGATTCCCGTTCACTAAATATTATGTTCGGCAAATCTAGGTCAATTTCATTTTGTCATCCGTGTTGTCCCTGAAATGCTGATTTTTCTAAAAAACCTTCTTTGTAATTGCATTTTAGTAGTTAGAAGTATTAAGCTTTTATTTTTTGCCAATGAATCACAAATAGGCATTTTAAGCAACATAATCATTTACGTCCTACAAGTCAGCAATTCATTAGTTTTGGAAGACTCAGGTGTAGATGGAGCGTCCAAACTGTACCCAGTACAGTTCACGAATCTTGCCATATCATCCTTCTTTTCATTCCTAAATCTAGAAGCATAGGGCAACAAGTAGACAATAGTTGAGAATGCGATTTTGGTTGCAGGCTGTTGCAAAGAAGCTAGCCGAACTCAGTGGGAAGGGAGTGACAACTATTATTGGAGGTGGAGATTCCGTTGCAGCTGTAGAGAAAGTTGGCGTTGCCGATGTGATGAGCCACATATCGACTGGTGGCGGTGCCAGTTTGGAGCTCTTGGAAGGCAAAGAGCTCCCTGGTGTCCTTGCCCTTGATGAAGCTGTTCCAGTTGCTGTGTAAGGTTTATAGACAACGTTCTAATTCATTTTATTAACCTGAAATCTATTTTGATGTTCCACTTCTGGTGCGTAAACTAGAAAAGTTTAGTATATGAGAATGTTTCACTTCACTGTTGATTTAATGTCTCAATCAGCCTTTTCTTGTTGAAACGATGAGAACAAATAATGAAAATTGAGGAAGAGATTGTCTCTCGTAATCTTATTTTTTGTTTGTTGTTTTTCTGGAATTGTGTCTTCATTTATATAAATTTAATATCCAGACTTTTCTTAGGCGTTTTCTCTTCAGAGCAAATTGTTGCATTTTGGCGAATACTGAAACTGGTAAAGTTCTTTTTTGGAGATTGATAGGGTTACACCGTACATAATTCGACAGGTTAAAAAGTATATACATCACAAAGGTGTAAGCCCCGTTCGGTCCAACTCGCAGTCAGTCCAGCCAAGAGTTTGGACTAACTGAACAACTGTGAACAGTTGACCAAGTACAATGGCAGAGTGGCTATGGGGCATCCCACTTGTCTCTGCCCCTCAAGACAAGTGAAAAGCCACCCATAAGCACGGAGGTCCATCATTTCCGAGGCCGCATATCTCTACAGTGTGTGGCCCGGGACTTTCAAGGGTCTGAACCAAGTGGAAAAAATCTACTTGTACAAAATTATTTGACAAAAAAGTTGACAAACTCTCAAATGATGACTGACTCCATATAATAAAAAATTTCAAAAAAAAAAAATGTGGGCCCCCTCCTATTGTTAGGGGACCATTTAGGGTGTTTGTCACCTTGACTCGGTACAACAAGCCTCTCTCAACCAAGTGACTGTTGGTTGCATGACCTGTTACACTTCTTTCATGGTTATTACCAACTCTGATTGGTAGATATTTAGTATATGTTTGATTTTGTTAAAATCTGATTTTTAATAGATTTTGATTAAAATTAATGAGATGTGCATTTGGAAATGAGTTGGGAGAGAATGAATTTAAATATAAAAGAGGCACTTCTAATTCTATCGAACTGAGCCAAACGGCTTTATGGCTCGGCTCGGCTAACCTTTTTTTTTTTTTTTT